AATAGGCCAGTTTGGTCTCTTCGGTATTCGGTAAGCCTTCATGGTGTACTAGCTTCAGTGCATCTTCTTCACTGTCCTTCAGATATTCTTCCAATGCCTTTTTCTTTTATTATTATTATTAGTATTACTATTATTAGATTCTCATCAGACTCAACCAAGCTTTTAAAGTTATACATTGATTTCTCTTTCAGGGTTTATTTCAATCTCTACCAAGCAATCAATCATGCATTGTGAGCTGAGTAATTTGTCAAGTTGCTATGGTATGCCTGAGTAAGAGGCTCACCATAAGAGTAAGTTGTCACATTGCTTTTTGAAACACCCTCTTCAGTTTCCTACTTAATGTGCCTATAATATTACTGAAAACTTGATTCTGCGCAGAAAATGGAGACAGCGTGGTTCAGCAAATAAATTGTGGCTTTTAGAGCCAGTTTATAAAAACTTTAAACACAAAAAAGCAAAGTTGGGCGATTTTTAGGGACCCCCATTGATGTTATTTATTTTACAATGTGTCTGGGGGGGGGGATGTTCCACAGTGGAGTTGATGATACAAAAAGGATGGGTCACATCAAATATTGTGATTTTTGTTTGGGGGATTGTTTGGTGTGGGGGGGAATATTTTTCTTTTAGCCTTGTGAAGCCGTTGTTGTGATATCCCATTTTTATTTTGTGCAAGTCAAGGCGGTGTGCACAATCCTCCCTCCTCCTATTTCCCCCCAACAACAACCCTGTGAGGTGGGTTGGGCTAAGAGAGAAGGACTGGCCGAAAGCCACCTGGCCAAATTCCGTGCCCAAGGGTGGACTAGACCTCCTGGTCTCCTGGCTTCTAGTCCAGCACACCCCTGGGAAGTGAGAAATTAGGGCAAATTTAGACCATCTTAATCCTGTTTTCCTTTGATCCTGATTCCTGTGGTGTCTCAGTCCATATTTCTCTGGCAGCAGGTATGGCATGTCCTGACAGCTAACTTGGAAAAGTTTATGCCGGCTGTCTGAATGGGTGACTGCACATAAGCACTGTATTCCTTTGGTCTCTCCAAGAAAAGATTTATGCAGGACATTTACTTAGCAGGCACCAGATACATGGCTCCTGATTACATGGGTGCTCTTTTTCACCTTAAACCAGTGTTTCTCTGGCTGGGGAATCCTGGGAGTTGAAGTCCACACATCTTAAAGTTGCCCAGGTTGAGAAACCCTGCCTTAAACTGTCTGCTTCCCTAACCAGACTGACTCTACCACATAGTACACCTGGATCAACTCTGTTAGGCAGAAGGAAGAATCTGCTTTGGGGGGCCATGCCTATTCCTGCTGCCCTCCCAATCTGGTCCCTGAGCAGGGCTTCCCTGCACCTAAAGGATGCAGCTCTCCAAGTGGCCGCCCATCCATCGTACTTCACTTTGAGAAACAGGGTCAGCCCTTTCAACATGGTGGTGTCGGCCCTCCATGTTTGACTTGGTTATTGGATGAACCCATTTTCTGGGTTTCAGTAATAGAGTGAACCACAAATGAACTAAACAGCCTGAGTTTGCACATGAGGCTGTCTGAGGTTAAAACTAAACTCAACATAAATGGCTTGGTTAAGCCGATTGCGTAAGTGGATGGCTCTGAGTACCTCACGTGTGCAAGATGGCCTGCTAGTTGGAGGATACATGTTGGCCCTTTGCTGCTGGTGAACAGTATTCAACAAGGAATACACATGAAGATCCTTGAATGCAGACATGCAGACGAAGCTAGTGAAAATCCACTGAAAATTGTACCATACCAGGCTACTATTCAACCATGTCAGCACTGCTGTTCCTGCTGGCATGCCTTTCTATCGAAAAGGCACATTAAGCATATTCCCACAGGGGAACTGTCGCTTCTGCATTTTATTTTTGTCCATTCTATATTTTAAAATACACCAACCTGAGCAAACCTCTCAGAGCAATACCTGGATCCAAACATAAACGTTATATATGACTTCTCTGAATTTTGTAATTCAAGTCTTGGCTCCAAAAAAAAAAAAAAGTTTACATTAAAATACATGTTTAAAGTTTGATATTTGTGATTTCTGTTGGTTTTAGAAAAACCAATGGACCAATGCAGAAACAAATCTCGCAAATGAACAACTGTGAACTGACCCGGTCTGGAAACACAGTGATCTGTCCATGGGTCCGAAAGGAAAATACCAGAAAAGGTTCCTTGAGAGCCCACTAATTTATGAGAGGCATCTAAACTGAATAAATCCTTCATTACTGAAGATCCCACTCATTCCCTTTGAGCACTCATAGTTGGCAAATTTGATTGATGTGCTGCTGAATACTTGTTTTCCATAGTTTGTCAGCTCTACAGAACACCTTTGCAAGACCTGCTTTTAAGCTTCGGACGACACAGAGCGGGTTGATGGTGCTTTGCAAATCATAAAAATTGCCAGATCTGTAAAGGACACCATCCTGGCACAAACATGGCAAACACTGATAGATCCAAAGTGTGAGAGCTGTGGGAGGTGTATGCATAGCATTTCTCCTAACACAAATAATTATATTAACCTCAATAAGGGGAGTAGTGGTGTGTCCAACAGGGCTTCCTTCTTCCAGTTACCCCTCATGGTCAATCCTTTTCCACTGCCCTCTACATATAGAAAGTAACTATCTAAGGTCAACGGTTCCTGGCTTGCCATGGCAGTAACACTCTGCGTGGACTCCTTTGTATTTTGCCAGCTCAGCGCTTTCGCTGCAGTCCTTGACCTTCATACCTAAATGATTCCAACATATCTACTAGAATGTGATAAAAGTTCTCCTAAGATGCCACAGTAGAAATGGAAGCAGGAGATGACTCACTCTTGTTAACTAGTTTTATTCGCTTGTGGGTCCCACTCTACTAAGCGTAATTTTTCCAGGAGCGTCAGCGGGGAGAGGGCATAGCTCAGTGGTACAGCCTATGCTACTGGGCACTGCAGGGTAAAAGCTGCAGATGATGGGAAAGTCTTCTGCTCAAATCTCTGGAAAAATGTTCCAAGGAAGGCTAGATAATGTGGGGCAATACAGACGATTGGTTTGGCCCACTATCTCCCCCACCTTCTTCTATATATAATCTATTTGTTCTGTTTTATACTGTATCTGCATAACCGTAATACAGTTTGATGTAGTGATTAAGGCACCAGGCTAGAAACCGGGAGACCCTGAGTTCTAGTCCTGCCTTGGGCAGAAAACCAGCTGGGTGACTTTGAGTCAGTCATTCTCTCTCAGCCCCAGGAAGGAGGAGGCAAGGGCAAAACACTTCTGAAATCTTGGGGGACAACTACAGGGACTTGTCCAGGCAGTTGCTAGAAGTCAACACTGACTCAAAGGGACAAAAACAAAACAAAACCCAACCACCAAAGACAGGTTCTCTGCACTGCTTTATAACAAAAGTTGATTCAAAACTAATACTGCGGTTAGAACATGGATAGGAAGCAACGAAACAGGTAATGAGCTACGCACTATTTTAAACACCTGGAAGGAGTGAAAGATTTCTACCTAGTATTGAAAGGAATGCCCCTGAAATTAACTGAAACCAACAAGGGGCCCTGGGAACGGTTCCAAATATAGCAAGAAGTTCTGAGAAGCAGAGGAGGTCTCTTACGGCAGAGATATTCCAGCAGCTCCAGAATAGCCTTCCCAGCAGTTCTGCTGAGAGATGGTCAGCTTTGTCTCTTCTTCCTGAACTGCTTCATCTCCAGCTGGTGGTTACATCGCTAAGAGCTAGTGCCTGGCTGCCTGACTTTGCATTTATATTTCTTCCTCCCACCCATTCCCCTTTTTGCCTATTGCATCTTTTAGATTGTACATCTATGAGCAGGTCTGGCTAATGATTGAAGGCCATGTTGGAATACTTTTTTGGGGGGGGGACTGAAGAGCTGGGCACCAATCTTTCAAACGAGGCACTATCACCCATGATAGAAACAACCCTGCCCTTTCGCTCACTGTCCATACCAGGTTTTCATTTGTCAGCCGCGTGATTTCCTGCTGGATGCCAAACTCCACTTGGGCTTCTGGTGACAACTGGAGTGTCTGGAGGAAGACTTCGTGCTGTTTCTCCATCCCTTCCTTCAACACCTCCATCTGGTCCTTTAGGGCTTCTACTTCCTCTTCATATTCCTTCCTCTGTTCCTGGAGTTGGGCCTCAAGGAGCCTGAAGGGAGGAAAAGTGGGGAGGATGGGGAAAGTAAAATGTCTTTGTCACCCAAATGATGTGATACACCGAAGCAGCCATGGCACCTTTAGTGGTGATGGACCTGGGCTTGGATTCACAGACCAAATGCCTTTGGCCCTTCCAAGGTACTTTTGTACCATGTGAACAGGAAAAGGGCCACGTGAACAGGAAATGGAAAAGGCTCATTGATTTATATTATATATATCTATATCTATTCTATGTACATGTAGGAAAAACAGCTTGGTATAGTTGTTAAAGGCCCTAGGCCAGAAACTAGGAGACCTTGAGTTCTACTCTTAGACCAGTGTTGTCCAAACTTGGCCACTTTAAGATGAGTGGACTTCAACTCCCAG